ATCAATTTTTTTAATCTATATTTTTAAAGCACAAATTATACAAATCATTTAATTATATAAGTCATCTTCTTACTTAGTAATACATTTTTGGAATTCTCGGGAAGCAATTGTGATACTCCAAAGTCTGTGCAGGAGGACCGTGGAAGTAAAAGGACCACAAGCCAGCAAATTCCATTCCTAAGTTGGTGGAGAAGATAGAAATACATAAATGAGGGCGGCGAGGGCGATTGTTGTTGTTTTCCCTTTTTCTTTTTTAATATTTACGGTTAATGTTAAGGCATTTTTGAATTAATTTTTGAGCGCTGAAGACGATTGTTATGAGGACACCAACACATACTGCTAAAGTTATATATAAATATTAAGATTGTATTTAGTGTATTTGATTTTATTATATGAAAAAAAAGAGTAAATATTATATCGTTTTGGTATTTTAAATATTAATATTTTTTTATAAAATTATTTAAATATATTTAATAAATTTTTTATGTATTGATTTATTAAATTTTATTATTATTATTTTTGACATTTAAAATATGAAAATGTCTTAATTTTTTTAATTTTTGTGTTGTTAATATATTAATATTAATTAATAATTATAATTATTAATTACCTTTAATAATTAAATTAAACATAATTATAATATTTTATTCCATCTAAACACTTAGTGGTGTAAGGATAATGCGCAACATGTAGCAAAATTAGTAAATTACTCCACCGAAATACTCCAAATTAGGGTGGTGTTATCGAAATAATTTTGTAATCTTTTTTTTTATATAATTAAATAAATAGATGTATTTAATATTATAAATTTTAAATAAATTATAATAATTAATTATTTTAATGATTCATTAAGTTGTACAAAATTGTGAGACAAAAAAGTTATACAAAAATCATTTCACTTCAAATTAATTATTAAAAAAATTAATGCATGCCCCTATCCAATTATATCCTGACATTTGTCACACCTAGTGGGCCCGGGCCGACCATCTCAGTCTTCCTCTACCAAACAAAGTAATTGTGGAGCCCATGTATTGACTCGTATAGCGATTGTTATGTGGATGAATAGAACAGCAAATTGTGGCCTCACGCGGGACCACCCAAATGTTACAGTTAAAAGGGATAGGTATAGGCCGTTGGCAAATTTTTTTTTCTCTAGTAATTTTTTTTTTAGCTTTAATAAAATCTAGAAATTTTTATTTTTATTTATTTAAAAAAAATTTCTTGGTTACCTATCAGAGTTTTGAAAAATATCCCTTTAATTGATTCAACCAAAAAGATGACAAAAATAAATAAATTAAAGTGGCTAGTAATTGAAAAGAAAAAAGAGTTAGTAAAATATTCATACGAAATATTGCAATACCTTTACACACCACACTAAGCCTAATTTTTTATTATAATAAAAGCGTATCATTTATATCAAAATTAAAAAATTTTATAAGAAATTATCTTTTTATTAACATTTTTAATGAATCAAATTGTATGATGATGATGTTAGAAAAAATAGAATAAAAATAACAAATAAAAGAAAAATAGGATGTTTTGAGGTGTAAACAAAATCAATATCCTTAGGACATTAAAATGCCTCTAAGATAAAACAAAAAGTAAAAACCAAACCTTCTCTAAAAAAATTGTGAAAAGAAGGAAAATTTTCTTATATTTTTGTTTTCAACTCGCATATATTTATATAAGTTGAAAGGATAATTGACTAAATATTATGTCATTTAACAACAGATTATAATCTTATAACATACATGACCTTTCACAAAGAATGGTAATGTTTCTTCTTTCACGCTAAATAGATATAAACATTTGATTAATAGTTATGTTTCATGAAGAACTTTAAATTCAAAATTGATTTCATTTTCATGCTTAAGACAAAACTTACCTATCAATATCAAATAAAAAATATCAAAATTTTAAATTACTTTGAATATTTAATTATAATAATTTTAATACCATTTCACACTAAATATCCAATAGAAGAAACCCTCATGAGAGATAGAGACCAATGAAGAATTTATTTTTTGTACATTAAAAATTAAGTACTTGAAATTATAAAAGTTTGAGTCTTTAATTTTAACTATAAATCAAGATTTCTAAATTCAAGATTTCTAAATTGAAATATACCAACTCAAACCAAGTTCTTACAACAAAGACTTCATTCCTTGTGAATTTACAAAATCAATATAAATGGCTTATTTTCTCCGAATAGATGAGAAGAAAGATTTAACTTAATTCAAAATACCACTTGATTCCCCGTACTATAAAAAGGTAGTAACAGCCTCTTTTCTTTAAAAGTCACAGTTCTTACAAATGAAGTCAAAATAGTTTCCAGATTCATATTTATTTTTGTGTAATAATATGCAAACAATTCTTTTATAATTTTTGTTTACAATTTTTATATATGAATAGATGTATACAATAGATTATAAATGCTAATAGAATTAAAAGAAGAAGAAGTAAATTATTCAATGATATGTAAAGTTATAAGAAAAAAAAATATAAAAAATTATCTGTCAATCATTTTTCTGTTTTTTTTCCTTTCCAAAGTAATTAAATGTTTTAAATTTAAGAAATAATCTTATTAGATAGAGTGAAAAATGAGAAAAACAAAAAGAAAAAAAAGAAGAGAATGTGTTACCTTCATTATACAACTTGGCAAGCAAAAACAAGGCAAAAAATGCAAAATAAGCTTGATATTTGCCTAACAATGTTGTTTATACCATAAATTGTTAATTTATCTCATGGTGTCATGTATTACATTGTTTGAATGAGTGGTTATGATTTAGCCATATTAGACCTGATGTTGCTGGGATTTGGAGCATAATAGACCTTCATGATGCCTGTCACATATTCAATTAAATCTAGTATTTTTGGCAATTATCTCCTATTTATTTTGTGTTATTTAACATTAATGGAAATTATGACTAAATTTTAGAAGAAGTTGTTGATCAAGATCAACAAGTGAATAAAGTGGCAACAGGTGCAAGTTCTAAAGAGAGTGTTGATCAAGTTTGGTATTGAGTTGTCTAACTATTTTAAAAAGCTTGTCATGTTTTATACAAATAAGAGTTGGTAGTTATTATTTACCTTAAGACATATAAAAGAAAAAATTCAAAAGAAGCAATGGACAACCAACCCTACGTACAACTCATCAACAAATTTAGCTTTCTAGTTTCATAACTACTATTTAATAAGAGTAATGATAGGCGGGACGATATCGGGGGACGAAATTGAAGGACGACAAGTATTAGGAAAATTTATGCATGTGGTGTAATTACTAATTTAACCCCTATAATACTTGTCTCCCAATTTCGTCCTCCGGTGTCGTCCGCCTATCATTACTCATTTAATAAAGCTCACATATCATCGTTTTAACATAATTTCCAATCAAAATTAGGTTAATTCTAGTTTTTTGTTGAAATCTCTTTGTTTATTTAATGATTTTGAAATAAGTGTCATTTTTTTAAATGTTAACTTATATGGTTTTCTCACCTCCCTTTCATGTTCATATTCATGTCTATGTTAATTTTAATGTTATTTGTATAAACATCGTGATTGCTTTGTTTTATTTTAATTTCAAACTCATTTAATTCTTCAATTTTATAATGATTTCATTAAATTTACCAATAACTCGTTACTCTAATTTGTTAGCACACTTAAATAAAGACTCATCCATTCCACTTATTGCATTTATTATAGATCATTGAATTTTTAACTTATCGTAATATTTTAAAGTTTTTAAAACTATTGAAGATATATGATTATATCAATAACCCATTTTACACGAAAGTATGATTTTCTCATGCAAATCACAAAACCCAACTTTACAACCAGAGATCGACTTTACGTGTGCGGAAGGAGAGCGTCCTTAGAAAATTCTAATTTCTTAC